GTCCAGACTGGAATACTATAATGCACTCTTGGCAGGCCTACCAGTCAGTAAGATTAACCCGCTACAACTAATCCACAATGTTGCAGCGAGAGATGTTTAATGAGAACACTTTATATGTTTTTCTGGTTCTCTATTATACACTGCTCTCTATGGATGGTATCTTATTTTACTAAGCAATTGGTGTTAAGAAGTTTTTTTTTTTATGTTGCATGGATATACTTGTGGGAAAGGCCAAAAATACAATGTAATTAAAATGATCTATTTTTATTTTATGGCAATAATCATTCACATTTTAAGGAAAGCTCATGTTCCATAAAGAGATTTTGTAAATTTCCTTCTCTAAATATATCGAAACTCAACATTTGATTAGTAATACTGTATGCATTGGCAAAAACTTAATTTAGACATATTTAAAGGATTTTTTTCCTTAATATTCAGATATTCTAATCGTTGTTTCTCAACCAAATATTGCCTAATCTTAACAAACTGAACATCAAAGGAAAGCTTATATATTGAGCTTTCAAATTATGACTTTTCAATTAAAAGCTTTATGTCATTTTATTTTTCATATAGCACATGTCTTGCCACTGGCTTGCTTAGTTTAGGACTAGTGGAGCTGCGCAGAGTTGTACTTCAGTGTTTCGACTTTCAGCAGTGACATTTACATTACATTGCACTGAACTGAACTAAACTGAACCTCAACTGTGAAAACTGGACTGAAGCAGTTCAATGTACTAGAACTTCATCTATGTCAGAGATGCCCAAACTAGAGCCCGGAGGCCAAAGTTGGCCCATGGTATCCTTTGGTTTGGCCCACCATCCCATCTGAGAAATTTTTCGGGAAGGGTTGGGGTAATACCTTTTTTACACATTGTCATTTCTAATTTAATGTAACCTTTCACTGGCTTATTTCATTGTTAAGCTACAAAAAAAGCTAATGTTTTAATTAAATGTTGTAAATTAATCAGTTTTTTTTTTTTTTTTTTTTTGAATGAACATACTGTTGCTCAACATATAGACCACAATTTAAAAGTCCTCAGTAAGCAAATCAAGGCAAAGGCAGGTTGGATAGTCATCACCTTGGAATTATAAGGTTCTATCTGCATTCTGAATGATTTTGAGATATTGAGCTTCAAAGATTTTGCATTCCATAGCAAACAGTATGTGTGTAACATTTGTTTTTTAAATAAAAGTCTTTTAAAATGTAAACAACGTATATAAAAAAAATCCCATAATGTAAATAAGTTGTCATTTAATAAGAATATGTCAATAACTCAATTTTGACAAAAATGTCAAAATAATAATTATAATTCTATTCTATATATACCTCATAATTCTAAGGTGACGTAGTGTATTCAGCCTTAAACTCTATTGTGTTATAAATATTAATTATGTTTTCATTATAATATGGTGATTATAAAATATAAAATAATATATTATGCATTAGTTAATACGGCTTATAGTAATGTTGTCTAATTATATTAGAAATAAATATGGGAAATTATCCATGGCAATTTTGTAATACATTTTTGTATATGTCTGTAGATATCTTCAGCACACTGCCCTCAATCAAGTTTGATTTTGGCCCTTCATAAGGAAAAGTTTTGGTACCCCTGACCTATGTTTAGCTGCTTTGACACAATCTACATTGTAAAAAGCACTATAAAAAATAAAGATGAATTGAGTTGAACTGTGTAATTGGAAATACAGTAGCTGTTCATTTGTTCTATTGTCCTCATTTGTAAGTCGTTTTGGATATAAGTGTCTGTTAAATGATTGAATGCAAATGTACATGAATAAATACAGGTTTCATGACAAACACACTATCACACATTTCCAATCAACATACCGTATTGTTACTAAAGACGTTGATTTCAGCTTAAAAGTGCTGTAGTATAATTTTTACAGAGTTTTGTTTGTGTAGACTTGATGCTCAATAACAATTTTAAAAGAGTGGCTGTCGAGGACTCCAGAGATCAGCAAATGGAATAGGCTGACCCCAGAGAAGAAAAGAGGAATGGAGAGGGCTTGCCAAAAAGCAGGGGTGTTTCTAGTTCAGAGACAGCACTCTTCATTATTAAGCTTTGGCCATGTAATAAGGCAAGCTCTATCTGCGCTGCTGTTTGCCAACAGGAGGGACTTGTGGTTGCTCCAAATGCGACAGCATTGACTCCGAATGCACTGGCCTACATTCATTGTGTGTTGAACTATTTAGTAAAGTGCCCTAGGGCTCAACTTGAGTGTCTGCTCTTAACTTCATTTGATATCTATTAATGATATGGGTCATTATAAATTTAGACTATAACACTTTCCAAAAATGAGAAATGACTGGAACACTTACACGTTTTCATTTGCTTTTCATCTGTCTCGATTTGCAACCTAAATTGGTTAATCTTTTTCGAGTGATAACAGGTTCACAGCGTGCTTTGTTTTCTTCCTTTTTGTCACAGGCCTCCACGTCCAAACTGATTCAGTGTTGGAGTCAAATAAAGGCTAATAAATAAGCTAGAGATAAAAATAAATAATACAGTTTGAGTTCTTTTTCACAGACACAAGTCTGCAACTGCCACAGAATTATAGATGACACTACAGTATGAATTGTTTTCCAAATATTTATTCAAGCACGCAGTGCCTTTGCAAAAATCTACTGTATAGTATTCAAACCAAGTATGCATATTCACAGTGAATTTTGGTTGTTACAAATCTTAAAAAGAAACAATGATTTCTAAGTTTGTATTTACATCCACCCACTGTTGAACTGGATTGGGCAATGTCTGATTGCAAGCAGATTACTTGTGTCCAACTCACATTACCAGGCCATCCCATCCCATTTCAGGATGTGCAGCACAAATGTCACAGATTGTAACATTCTATTTGTGCAATGAATGAATAGCAATGTAGATTGTTATTTTCCAATCAATGTAAATTGTTTCCAAGTGTTTTTTTTTCTGACTACAACAATGATTTAAAAAAACAATGCTTGAACAAAAAAAGTGCCCATCAGGGGTCTACCGAACCACTGCTCCTCCCAAAGTGCTTTCAAGCCCCAATAGTTGGACATTTTCCAAAAGCACCTGGCCACAAATGTTTTGACTGAAGCATTTGACTCGAAATATTGAAAATGTTTGCTTTGCAACTCAATAAAACTTTATGTTTACAGGGCAGTTCCCTCACAAAAAAAAAAAAAAAAACTGCAGTAAACTGAAGTAAAACTGTAGTACAACTGCACTACAACAGCAGTATATAGATGTATAATTGCAGTACAATTGCAAAACTGCAATGACATGAAGTATAAACACAGTTCAAATACAGTACAATAAAGATCAACAGCAGCAGGCCAGGATTGGGTAATCGGGATGGCCGGGAGTATTCCCGGTGGGCCGGTGTCCCTATAGCTGCCTGCACTCTGAGTAGTCACACTTTTTTCATTCATTTATTTATTTGAACATATCCTCAATCTTTTTTTATTATTATCCTCAATGCAAATTGCACAGAATATCCATCTGAACAACACATACGAATATTAAGTTCTTAAATGCAAATAATTCAAAACAAATATATTCAAAACTGAAATGCATCATATAACATTAGTTATTAAATCCAAACAAATAAGCTCCTATTCAGATATTGCAAAAAAGGACATTGTGATGTTTTAAAGAATAGTGTTGGAGATTTAGCTACCCTTTAATGTTCTTAAATTAAAAAAATTTAATGAAAAAATTAAATGAAGTTATAAAGCAGCTGTTTCCTTAAAAAGGACATGATAGCGTCAATAGAAAATTCAATACATTTGATTTTAATCTTTATTTTATACATGTAGCTTAATTCATATTTGTATTTATTAGATATTTTATTTCAAGGTTTGGATATTAATGAGCACTAACTCTTACAGGAAATAGATTCTGATACTGTTAAACATTACATTGTGTTAACTGTTTAAATAAATCTTCACTGTGAAGTACTGTGAAGTACGTCAATTGAAAATGACGTTATTTTAATATGGTCAGTCTTGAAACTCCACGGCTGAAAAGGAGTCCGACTCCGGCCCTGAGCAGCAGCATAAGTTGCAGTAAACAGGGGTAAAAACAAGTTAACTCCCTCTTTACCGCATTTGTGCCACTGTATATACCAATAGTGTGGTAAGAACTGCACTGCACTTGTGTTCCAAGGGATTTGTTCTTCAACATCTTCCAAGAATATGTTGTACTTTTTTCAGGGATATTTTTTGGATTCAAGTAATTTTCTAATTAGAATTTTAAGAGTTTATTTGCAATAATAATAAAAGATAACTACAGTGAACTGAACAGTACAACAGCAGTAGCCTATATACAGGGATAACTGTGATACTGTATATTCAATGGCACTTCAAAATTGCAGTATATTCAAAATTGCAAGTATATACAGTATATAAGCTCAACAGCAGTACAATCTGCAGTACAACTGAAGTAGAATTAAATAAACTGAGGGGGACAATACAGTGATATGTTATATAATTTACAGTACTTAGGTACATCAGAATTAAAAGTGCGCTTTAGTTTTATTATGCACAGAATTGCAGTATTGATAAATTTCTGTAGTTATACTTTTGATAAGTGCAGTGGCAGAGCGGAGGCCCCGCGTGATCAAGGGGCCCCATGTCGTCGCTGTTGTACTGTAGTAGTAATTCAGTTGTTTTGCAGTAGTTGTACTGCATTTGTACTGTAGGAGTACTTCAGTTGTATTGCAGCAGATGTACTGCAGTTTGTTGTATTGTAGTACTTTCAGTTTTATTGCAGTAATACTGTCCAAAAAAACTTTGAACTTTTCTGAAGTTGACTAAATCTACAGTATTCCTTTAAAAACATTGCAGTATTCTTAAAAAAACTGCAGTATTTTTTTGTAATGGTTGTGTAAACTGCAACAATTGTGAAGCCTGTGAGGATTTCAGAATGTCTTTAATATGTGTTTCCATCAGATGTGCTCAGGTAGCGTGGTTGCATATGTGTTTGTAATGACCATACCTGCTGTGTGCGCGGTTTATAAGGTGAACTGCTCTCTAGGTCAGCCAGGATACTGGTCAGCGAATCAATCTCAGCATCCAGACTGGAGCGTCTCTCTTCTAGAGTTTTCTCAGGTCCTTTTATCTGAAACACACAGACACAGTAACCTGTAATGAAATTAGGTCTATTTGAGAGAGGTTGCTCTAAATCAGCTAACCCACTTAATCACATTTGAACATGCATGCTAAAATGGAGAAGAAAAAAAAAACTAAATATTATAGACAAAGAAAGGCAATTTAATGCTCAAATATGGCACAACATCTGCTGTGGGCTGGCATTACACAACACCTTAAGCATCACAGCAACTGCTGATCTTTATTTTGTCTTTGTGCTTTGTCTTTACGTGTTCATTAAAATTAATCGTGGCCTCAGACAATTGGCTGAAAGTGAACTACTGTAACAATAAGACACAATTGTCTGGGAGAAAGTCTTTAGGAAAAAATCTTAGTGAAGTGAAAAAATAAACAAACAACAACTAACGCTTTGTTGGTGAGACAGCTCATCTCGTATTAATTGAATCACCCTTCAGGTCTCTCTCACTATCACTCCCTCTCTTTGGCTGTCCGCTTTATCTGTTTTTACTCTACTTAAAAGTTTCACTGTCTCCCAAACTGACAATAACAAAGCCTCACTCTCGCAAAGTTTTGCTCACACTCTGGTTGCAGGTTTCTTTTTTAAGATGTTTACACTCAGGGAGCGCAGCACATCCATAAATACATATCCCACCTCATTCATTCATTTTCTTGTCGGTTTAGACCTTTTATTAATCCGGGGTCGCCACAGAGGAATGAACCGCCAACTTATCCAGCAAGTTTTGATGCAGCGGATGGCCTTCCAGCTGCAACCCATCTCTGGGAAACATTCACACGCACACACACACACTCATACACTACCGACAATTTAGCCTAATTCACCTGTACCGCATGTCTTTGGACTGTGGGGGAAACCGGAGCACCCGAAGGAAACCCACGCGAAGGCAGGGAGAACATGCAAACTCCACACAAAAACGCCAACAGAGCCGAGGTTCGAACAAGCGACCTTCTTGCTGTGAGGCGTCAGCACTAACTACTGCGCCACTGCCTTGCCTTCACATATCCCACCTCACTTAATCTAAATATTGAGTCTCGCTTGATTCATGTGTCAAGCAGAGCAGGGTTCAATTTTGATTTAATTTTAGTCTTTTGACTAAAATGTTGTTTAGTTTTAGTCTTTTGAATCACTTTATTTTAGTCTTAATTTTAGTTTTAGAAAACTAAAAGTCACAGAATTGTAGTCAAATATTAGTCAGTGAAAACTTGACATGTAAATAAACATAATTAAACTTGCATTTAATACACCCTGTCCAAAATTAGTATTATTTTCCCTACATTTAAATTTTATCTTTTCATTTGAGATTTATCTTTACATTAATAGGTTTGTCAGCAGTGGTCAGAGTATGATTGACCATTAAACCTCAACTGTCTAATTTTTTAATGTGCTGTATTTTTGCATTCCCAGTATTGGATTGTGGGTGGAATGGCACCCGCTGTGTAAAACACATAATGGATAAGTTGGTGGTTCATCCCACTGTGGCAACCCCTGATAAATAAGAGACTAAGCATATGGAAAATGAATGAATGAATGAATGTATTTTTGCATTCTAAAACACCCATTTATAATATTTAATAAACTTATTTGACAAATTCAAACCTGTCAGTTTTCTTAGAACTCTACAAATATTCCGATAAAAGTTAGCAGGCATTAGGGTCAATTACTGTAGTTGGCAACAAAGTCATTTTGTCATCAGTTGAACCACTAAAGTCACATTGAATGTTTTAACAATGTTTTTGGTTCCTTTTCTGACCTGTGAACTTCACTAGACCATTGCTGTCTAAGGAGGATGAGGGAGCTCTCTGATTCCATGTTAAATATAAAAATTTACTATTTAAAAATGAAAGAAGATCTCAGGGGATTAAACCACCATGAGGGTAAGTAATTAATAACACAATTTCAAGAGTTTACACTTAGATGATGATTGATTATAAAGCGTGTTTTGCATGCTGTCGCAGAAAAGAGCCCTGAGCTCATAAGGTCCTCGAGCCCGGGGCTCCCTCCCATTTGTAAGGTGAGAGGGGAGTTAAAGCGTAGGTAGGTCTCGAGAACTCCCTTGCTTAATTATGGCTAATTTCAAGAGCTCATCAATAGTGCCAATTTGGTTTGGTCAATTCATCTATGCTGCATGCCTTTGGACTGTGGAAGGAAACCAGGAAACCCTGGAGAAACCAGCCCGAGCACAAGGAGAATATGTTAACTGCACACAGAAATGTATTTTAGGGCAGCAGCATTAACAGATATAAAGCAGACAGTCTACTAATACTCAAATGGACAGTCAAAATAAAGTGTTATCGCTTATTTTTAGTAGGTTAGGAATCATCTGATTGGTGAATCCTGCATTGCTAATGCAGGATCAGATGTGGTCAATCATAAGCATGTGAAACTCTCAAAATTAGTATATCAAATATATACAGTATAACTTTTTTTTAGGGTAAACCAACCAATACAATTGGTTATTATATAAATTATATTATATAAATTATTATGCCAATGGTTTCTAATACAACACAGTGTAAAGTAAACAGAATGTCTTCCCATCAGTTTTTAAACAAAAACTGTATATATAACAACCAACTCTAAAGTCTAAGTCTTGGATGAGCAATACATCTGCAATCACTGATTCCTGTCCTTTAAGTCAGAGAGGGAGCAAAGAACGAAATTATCAAAGGCATTTGAGGAATGGCAGCCATGTGACAAAAAAGGTATGAGGGGCAGATTTTGACAGCGCTTTCACTCCTCATCAAAGGAGGCACAGCAACCTTCTCCCCTCACGGCTGAAGGACACTGATCTCTCTTCTTGTCCTCTGTGGCTTCTTTTGTTTTGCCCCTCATCTATACATGACGCTACATAAATAACGGTCCTTCGTGTGTCTTTATTTTTGTAGTTATTTTCGTTGTTCTTTGTGAGCGAGTACCCACAATGACCAAGACATAAATTGTGCTTTTAAAATGAGTACCTTTGTTTTAAATAGTCATAGAAATATTAATATTAAACAAAAATGTACAGAACTCCAAAGTGTCATGTAGAATATTATAGATATAAAGCTTAACATCCCAGTCAAACAAATCAACAACAGATGACTGTGACCAAATATTGCCTTTGATATACAAAAGCAAATAATATTTCACATTTAACTGATATGCAGACAAACATCCCTCAATCTCCAGAATATGTATCTATCTGAGGAGTGCTCTTGGTGGGAAAAAAGAGATGAAGTGGCCACTGATACACTTGAAGTCACATCTCCGAAAATATTTGAAACATTTTCTTTTTTTTTTTAAAATTTATTTTAGGCCTTTTTGCCTTTATTAGATAGGACAGTAATGAGGCAGGAAGGGAACTTGGAAAGAGAGAGAGGGGCGTAGGGTTGGGAAATGTCTTCAAGCCAGTATTCGAATTCGGGACGCCCTGTCGTGCTACTGCACCATATGTCGGCATGCTAACCACTAAGCTATTGCGCCGACGAAACATTTTCAAATATACTCATAAAAGAAATGCACACTTGAAGTCTAAACAACTACATTTTTTTCCTAGAAAGTTTAAAATAGTACAGCCGCCACAGTATTTGTCAGACTACAGTGAGACTAGTCCTCTGCTTGTCATTTGCTTTAGGTGGAGTGATACACACAGGTGAGGAGGCTGTAACAGGGCTGAATTGTTGCCCTAGAAACATTTATTATTATCAGTGTTAAAAACTGTTTAAGATTTAATACTTCATATTATGTGGAAATGTTTAACTTTCGTATAGTGAATGTATTCAGTGTTTAAATCAGGAAATATTTTACAATCAGTTAATTGATTGTATTACTATATTAAGATTGTTTTAATAATTTTAGTTTAGATTGTCCATTTTTATTTTGCATTTACATAATGTTTTAGTAATGTTATTGCTTGCATATTTTTGTCCTCTACAGTAGAAGTCAGAATAATTGCCCCCCTGAATTATTAGCCCCTATTTTTTTCCACAATTTCTGTTTAACAGAGAGTTTTTTTCAACATATTTTTAGACATAATAGTTTTAATAAATCATCTCTAATAACTGATTTGTTTTATCTTTGCCATGATGACAGTAAATAATATCTTACCAGATATTTTTCAAGACATTTCTATACAGCTTAAAGTGATATTTAATGGGTTAACTAGGTTAATTAGGTTAATTAGGCATGTTAGGATAATTAGGCAAGTTATTGTAGAATGATGGTTTCTTCTGTAGACTATCAAAAAAAATGGCCATAGGAGCTAATTTTGATCTTAATATGGTTTTTAAAAAAATGTAAAACTGCTTTTATTCTAGCCGAAATTAAGCAAATTAAAAAAAATATGATCAGACCAACTGTGAAAATGTCCTTGCCCTGTTAAAAAAATAAATAAAAAAATCAAGGGGGTGTAATAATTCTGACCTCAGTTGTATTGTATATATGTTATTTATTTTATCTGTATTTAAATTTAATTCTTTTACTACATAGTACATACCACACTAAACCCACACACAAAAATGAGATAAAATGCTTTAGTTTTAGCTAACATTGCTAACAACCAAATTTAGTTTCCACCTATATTTTAACACAAAACTGCTTTTTCAGAATGTGTGAGACTTCTGATTCATTACAAGCTAAAGAGAAAAAGAACAATCCAGGGGCAACATTACTTTAACCCTGCTGCAGCTTTAGTTATAGTCAGAGCACATGTTTTTTCACTCTATTCAGAAAAGAGCTGCCCTCAATGATACCCAATTAGTGAGATTCTTTACTAAATAAATGTTTCCATAATTTTAATTCACCCACAAAGTGTTTGTTGTGCTGTAAATAACTTATTTTCACAGAACGCAGCAAACATAGACAAGGTGTCAGCCAGCAACAAGTGCACGTTGGAAAGAAATTTTACTTAAGTGTAAAATAAGCTACGATACTGCATTTTATTTAAGATTTAAATTTACACTAAATTTATTTATTTATTCATTCATTTTCCTTCGGCTTGATCCCTTATTTAT